ACTACCATCAATGATAAACCAATTGGACCTGAATTAGGTAAAATTCGGATTTTATCTTCGTATAAAAAGTAACATATGCTTAACGATAGTTCAATTAATTGGTGTATATCTATGAGAGTTAATTTATTCCTAGTTTTTAAATCTTCAAGATCATCGTTCAATATGTTAATAATAACAGGAATTGCTTCATTGATCGGTACGGATGGATATAAATTAATTACATCGAAAGAAACCTGAATTTCATTAGGGTCTATCTTCCATTCTTTAGCATCGTTGACAAAGTTTCTTGAATTAATTAGTCGAGTTATGTTTTTGTTTAATGTTGGTTGGATAATTTTAACCAGATACTCAGATGTTCCATAAGGAGGTGTGTTAATAGTGGAAACAACAGGACGCATTGGGTAGTTTTTCTCCGGTTTGTGTGCTTTAACCATTCCATAGATTCTAGGTGGAACGCAATCTGATGGATACATTTTAAAATAAGTAGCATTGTCTAACTTACCTTGTTTTCTTAATTTACATAATAGTTTTTGAAATTTAGTAGTGAATATGAATATATTATGCAACAACAAAACTAAACTACCTCCGAACTCAAATCCGGGGGTTTACCAACTTAAATGCTCATGCGGAAATATATATATTGGTGAGACCAAAAAGAAAATCATTTCAAGAAGTGCAGAACACCAAAGAGCTTGCAAAAATCAAAAATGGTCGAGTTCAGGAGCCACGGAACATTCCAAAACATGCCGTGGTAACTTTGATTGGCTAAATCCTAAGACCTTGGCAGTCGTTCAAGAATACAAGATACGAAAAATTAGAGAATCTCTGGAGATTAACAAAGCGAAAGTTCGATGTGAGATAGCTATTGGGGAAGGTGTTCTAAATCGAGATGACAGGGATAAGGTTAAAACAAGAACTTGGGGACCCATTTTGACAAGAATTTAACTGACGTCATTATTATATTTAATTGGTTTTTATATTTGACGCTTTTTAATGTCTTCTTTTTAAACGGTTTGTTTTTATGTTATTTTGTAACGTTTTTTATTATTACCTGATGACGCTGACCACAATAGGTCAGCGAAATATCGTTGATATATTTTTACATCAAAATATATTTAAAAATAGTTATACGCTGCCTTTTTATTAAAATCAACTTACATATTAAATATATATATATATATCGTATAACAAGAAATGACTTTTAAAGATATATATATATATATATATATATATATATATATATATATATATATATATATATATATATATATATATATATATATATATTTATTTTTTACGGCAATTGACCTTTCCCTTATGAATAATATATATATATATATATATATATATATATATATATATATATATATATATATATATATATATATATATATATATATATATATATATATATATATATATATATATATATATATATATATAAGTAAATTTAAACAAATTAAAATGTATTCTACAAAAAGAGTGCTCAATGTTCTTAATAGAACAGAGCAATTACAAATTAGTACAAAATCACTTAGCAAAATTTTTTCTCATTTAACACTGTGTTTCATCAATTAAGACTCATCAGAATTTCTGATGTCTAGAAGAGAAAAAGCATCATTTGAAGAACCAGTCCAAATATTACAAGAGCACTCCATACAGGGACGAATAAGACATTTCTAGAGCTAGAGAATGGAATCAGAAGAGAGAAAATGGCGAGTACGATAAAGCGAAGCAACCTTTGCAAATGCTAATTTAGCAATCAACTGTATATATATATTTCCATGAAAGGTCAGTAGTGAACGGTAATCGAAGAAAACATCTTGTCACCGTCTATTGAAAAGTAACGAGTATTTTTTTTTGTATAGACTACTTGCTCTATAAACATTATTTTCATAAATTTGTGTTTGCTTTTTTTTTTTAAACTACCTTAGTCTCCCACTAAAACTTAATAGTAATAAAGGTTTTTCCAAAAATAGCAATATTTTAAACAATCATATTTTTTAACTTCAAAAATTATTTTTAGTCCTAATTTCTTATTCTTAAGAGATAATTTAAGAAACAGCATATAGTATGATAAAATTAGTTGATAAAACCTCCAGAACTGAACAAAAAATATCTAAACTTAGGACTTTGCAACTAGGTTAGTATCCGTCACTAATCTTTAGGCAATTTTTAAGATATGAATCAGCCACCGTTAAATTCTTTTTCTCAAAAAGAAGATATCTGATGCTATTTAGATAATTGATTCATTAGGCCTTGCTATATATATAGTATTTTGATTAAGAGTTGATATTAAAAATGAATTAGAATACCTTGAAAGTCTAAATGAGTTCCATAATAATCATGAAGGGGAATCAATCCCACCAACAGCTTACTCAGTGGGGCCATCCTTTTTTTAACTCGATTAAAAAACACTGCGTTCTGGCGCATTCGTCATAACAAATAAGACATCTAAATCGTTTGTAAAGGAAAGGTCAATTGCCGTAAAAAATAAAAATATATAAGTTAAAAGAAACATAATTAAATAGCAATATTCCTAGCCTCGCCTCCTCCATTAAATTCAGAATAAAATCTTTTAGTCACAGCAGTTAGCATGTCAGCCATAGAGCGCGAGGATCGAAAACCTTGTTAATTGTCTGACAGTAAGTAATTTGACTCAAGATGAGATGTGAGAAATTCATTGATTAAAGACTCAAAGACCTTGCTAATAACAGAAAGAAGACTGATTGAACAATAATTGGAGGGGTCATGATTTTCTCCGGAGATTTTGAAGATTGGATGAACAGATGCCATTTTCTAGAAAAAATGGAAATAGAATATTTGTGTAAAGTAAAGCTTTTAAAAAACATGAATTTCAATTACTTAAATCACTTTATCTGACTTTTATTCGTTCTTATTTAAAGTTATTTGTACCAGTTGGGTCCTTAAATTTAAAAGGAGATTATAAATTTTAAAGATTATAGTAGTTGAATGAGTGAAACGTTTAGACAACAAGTGACAAACAATTTGGTGTTTAAGTTATGAAAAGTGTTTAAAAGCTTCAAAATTGATAACTCTGACTTAGTGTTGTAAAAGATTTAAAAAATTCATTAAATTTTTTTTGTTTAAATATCTTAACAATTTTATTTAATTCATGTACTAATTTCTAAGATTTGATATAAAAAACTTTTTATTATTATATTTTTAATATAAGGTTTTACGTCCTATATTAATCTGAACAATATTACCTTGCTATAATAATTTTATGTTGATTTTGAACATATAGTACATTTATTATATGCATCTAATCCAACATAAAATTAACAATAGCAGCTGTTGCTCTGCAACTGACACAATAACGATCAGCCAAAATAGAACCAAGCAAGCAATGCTGCATATGCTGCATTACCCATGCAGCTTGGTTATTACCCAGCAATACCCATGTTGGAAGCATGCAGCATTACTCATGCAGACTTAAAATGTCTATAACTTTTTAACAAAATTTTAATTTTTGATAAAATTTTAAATTCAATATTAATTTCTATTTAGTTTAAGTTGTAATAAAAAATTTAATTTTTCTCCATAACACAAATACATGATTTCATTACACCCATACATGGACCAAGAACTCAATATTTTTGGTTGAGTTTGTTCCCAAGCTCCAGTCATTTTAACTTTCCGTAAAAAATTATTATATGATTATAGTATCAATATCGCAAAAGTTTATTTTATATCTTGAACACCAAAAATCCAGAACACACTTGTTTAACTCTCTTTGACATTGTAAGATAAAAACAAAATATTTTTAAAAACTTAGATTATAACTGTACAAGATATGGTGGTTTCAAAAATGTAACCAGTTTTTGGTGTGAATTTTTTTTTTTCTGCATGCAACATTTCTTCTAGAGTTTGCAGGAATAGCCCGGGCAACAAGTTTTTTAAAATGCGACAATTATTTTTTGCTATATGTATATGCAACAAATATTAGCAAAGATATTGCAAAAACTTCATATAGTATTACTAATAACTTCTTTAACAAAAATGAAAAAAAGGCAAATATTTCACCTGGTTCGAGCATTTGTGAAAAGGGGTTTGCTTGAGTCAGGTGAAAAATGTTTTACCTCGAACATTTGCATGGAAGGTGGACGTGAAAAATCATTATTTTTTGTTATTATTATTTAGTGATCAAAAAAAATAAATACAATAAATCTGTTTATAGTTTAATAAATAGGTACTACACCAGTCCCCTCTCTTCTGAAAAAAAAACACACACTGAAGCTCAGACAAAGCAGCAATTGTGTCTCTAAAATTTACTTTGTTATTCTGTCTTTGAAAGCATTAATTTTTTTTTTTTTCCTAATTTGTTATTTTAGGTGTCCCAAGAAGTCCTAACGGTCTTGTCACAGAGCACCGCGGAAGTGCATTTAACCAGAAAGTTCACGCCTCCTTTCTTACCGTGACGCGAAATATGTCCAAAGCTCGTTTCGAACCTTGATCTCCTGCTTATAGAGAAAGCGCTCTAACCACTGCGCCACGGCCGCATAAGAGGACCTAGAAGAGACTCTATAGAGCTTTACTATAAACTTTTTTTTTTTAAATAATAAAAAATTATTAAAATTAGAAAGTTTGGTAGTTTAGTTGGGGCGACTTTTAAAAATAATAAAAATAAGCAATATTTTTTTTTTTTTTTTTTTTTATTTATTTATGCTCCTTGAGATTCAACGCCATGTTGAATCTATTATGAGCCATTGCTGTTAACAGTTTCATAATAGTCATAGAGAGTAGTAGGAAAATGAGAGATCTTGGACATTTTTATTTTCAACCAAATTTTCAACCATAAATTAATATTAATATTGAGGTTAACATTGAACCATGTTGTGTATAATTTATTTAGATAAGAAATAATTTTTTTATTTTAAAAAAAATTGATTTTTTAAAATAAGTGTTAAATTTTATTTCTTGTTATGAAATATTACGAAAAATTCTTAAAATGACGTCACGTGACTTTTTCCTGCTTCTTATTTACACCCTAATTCATGCAAGTATTTTAGCAATTCAAGGTTGCCATTTTCAACAGCTTTTTCAAAAGCTTGGCCAAATTCAAATTCTGAAGCTCTGTACCCAAATTCATGCAAGTATTTAATTAATTCAAGGTTGTCATTTTCAACAGCTTTTTTAAAAGCTTGACCAAATTCAAATTCTGAAGCTTTATACCCTAATTCATGCAAGTATTTAATTAATTCAAGGTTGTTATTTTCAACAGCTTTTTTAAAAGCTTGACCAAATTCAAATTCTGAAGCTTTATACCCTAATTCATGCAAGTATTTAATTAATTCAAGGTTGTTATTTTCAACAGCTTTTTCAAAAGCTTTATCAATTGCGTATTCTGAAGCTTTTTGCATTATTTCAAGATTTCCACTTTCAACAGCAGAATTAAATTCATATTCTGAATCTCTGTACCCTAATTCATGTAAATATTTTATTATTTCAAGATTTCCACTTTCAACAGCAGAATTAAATTCATATTCTGAATCTCTGTACCCAAATTCATGAAAGTATTTAATTAATTCAAGGTTGTTATTTTTAACAGCTTTTTTAAAAGCTCCATAAAATATAGTTTGTGAAGCTCTGTACCCTAATTCATGCAAGTATTTAATTAATTCAAGGTTGTTATTTTTAACAGCTTTTTCAAAAGCTTGACCAAATTCAAATTCTGAAGCTTTATACCCTAATTCATGCAAGTATTTAATTAATTCAAGGTTGTTATTTTTAACAGCTTTTTTAAAAGCTTGTTCAAATTCATAATTTGAAGCTCTATACAATAATTCATGAAAATAATTTAGCAATTCAAGGTTGTTATTTTTAACAGCTTTTTTAAAAGCATTATCAAATATATCTTCTGAAGCTCTATACCCTAATTCATTTAAAAACTTCAACATTTTAATGTTGTTATTTTTAGCAGCTATTTCAAAAGCATTATCTACACTTTGTTTTTTTGATTGGATTAAATATTTAATCAAGTCAATTTTTCTTATTTTTACAGCAAAATAAACTTTATTACCTTGTTTATACCCATATTTTTTTAGATAATCATTTAGATCATCATCAATCATACCATTTTTATCTTCATCATATTCATCATATTCATCATCACTCATGTTATCATCTTTATTAATCATTTCATTTTCATTATATTCATCATCAGTCATTTCAATATCATGAGTATTAATATTTAATTTTTCTTCTATTAATCTTAATCTTTCATTTATTGATTTTAATAATTCTTCAATTTTATTTTCCATTCTTTTAATATATAAAAGAAAAATTATTTAAATCATTTTCAAATTTTTTTTATTTTTTTAATACGCATGCGCTAGATTTACTTAAATATAGTAGTCTCATCATATCCAACAGAACGTAAATATTTAAATACTTCAATGTGATTCTTTCTTGCAGCATAATTAATTGCATAATCATCACCTTTATACCCTAATTCATGTAAATATTTAATTACTTCAAGATGCCCATTTGTAGCAGCTTTATTTATTGTATCTTTTATTCCTTTATACCCTAATTCATGTAAATATTTAATAATTTCAAGGTGACCATTTCGAGCAGCATAATTAATTGCATCTTTTGTACCTTTATACCCTAATTCATGCAAATATTTAATAATTTCAAGGTGACCATTTTTTGCAGCATTATTAATAGCATATTCTGTACCTTTATACCCTAATTCATGTAAATATTTAATTACTTCAAGATGTCCATTTGTAGCAGCATAAGCAATTGCATTTGTAGTTACTTTATATCCAAGTTCAATTAATTGTTTTATCCAATCAAGTCTATTATTACTTGCAGCAAAGTCAACTTTATTACCTTGTTTATACCCATATTTTTTTAGATCAGCAGTTATAATATAATTAGCATCACGTGCAATTCTCCTAGCATATTTCTCTTGAGCTTCACGTGCAATTCTCCTAGCATATTTCTCTTGAGCTTCACATAATGCTATTGCAATTGCTTCATCATCAGTCATTTCAATATCATGAGTATTAATATTTAATTTTTCTTCTATTAATCTTAATCTTTCATTTATTGATTTTAATAATTCTTCAATTTTATTTTCCATTCTTTTTATATATACAAGAAAATTATTTAAATCATTTTCAAATTTTTTTTATTTTTTAATGCGCATGCGCTAATTCTTACTGTATTTTCTTTTTAAATCCTATTTTACGTAAATATTTGAGTTCAACTGTATCTTTTGAACATTTATAACCTAATGATTGTAAATACTTGAGTACTTCATTTAATTCACAATTTGTTCATTTATATCCTATTGAATGTAAATATCTGAGTGCTTTACGTATTCCACTTATTTCAGCAAAATCAAGTGTATCTCTTGTACCTTTATAACCTTTTGAATGTAAATATTTGAGTACTTCAGGGTCTCCATTTAATGCAGCATAATCAAATGCATAACTTGTTCCTCGATATCCTAATTCATGTAAATATTTGAGTGCAATACGATTTTTATCTCTTACAGCTAAATCAACTAAATCTCCTGAACATTTATAACCTAATGAATGTAAATATTTTATTTTTTCTTTATCATCTTCTTTTTGTATTTTGTTTTCCATTCTTTTTATATACACAAGAAAATTATTTAAATCATTTTTCTTGTTTTAATGCGCATGCGCTGGAATTTATTTATTAACAATATTATATAGGGTCTCTTATAGCATATAATTCTAGTTCAGTTGCAGTTACTAAAGTAGTTGAACTATTTTCAATGTAATTAGTATATACAGGAAAAACATTAGCAGATCCATCTGTAAAACTGCTATTTGCACACACAGGTGCCCAATATCCACCACCTGTATCTAGTGTAAGTACTGCTCCTAAATTCATCATGCTTTTTGTAGTTGTCAAATTTAATCCGCAAAATCCTTGTCCTGTGTTTGTATTACCGAATGGTGTTTCAGTTGATATGAGTTGTGCAATATTTTGATAATGCATAGACATCATTGGAAGGAATGCTTGTTTAAATATAATACTTTTCCATTCACCATTAATTTTATATCTTAAGCGATATTTATAATATCCATCTTTGTTTTTATAAAAATAGTTATTAGATAACTGACTATATTTTGTAGCTGTAGTTGGATTAGCACTATCATAATTAAGTGATCCATAATAATTAGTTGGAAATAAATCTGTTGGTACTTGCCTAACAATTAGCGTTTCTCCTGATATGTAAAGTGGATAATAAACACTATTAGCATATAAATTATTTTTAGCTGTAATTAATGCATTATAAAATTGTTGAGCTAAAAATATTTGTTGACGTGAGTCGTAATGTACGGTGTCATCGTTTGTAATTCTCATAGAAGGTGGAAGATTAGTAATAGATATGCTTGCAGCGTATGGAATATATTCTCCAATAGTTGAAAGCGCATTTTGAACTGGTGCTGCTCTTGCTGAATTAGCTGAAACCCATCCAGGTCTCATTTGAAAAGTAAGGAATGGAATTGTATTTGATTTTGCTTGGGAATTTGTTAACGTGTAAAACTGATTAGATGAATACCCTATATAATCTCTTATGGTTTGAATAAAGTTTACTAGAATATGTCTATAATTATTATTCCAGCCATCTATAGAATCATTTTCTCCTTGAGCCCAAGTCATACCACAAAATTCTGCGTTATAATGTGATAAAATATATCTAATTCTACGAGTTAAATTTCTAAATCCAGTACCATATGGCATAAAATAATCATCACTAAAACCTCTTGCATCTAACATACATGGAAGTATCATTAAACTTTCATCTGAATGTATTATATTTAATGTGTTTGAAGTATCAGCATCTTGCATTATTAAACCTGCTAATATTGAACCATATCCAGCATAACACATATTATCTGATTCATTTACTTCAAGTCTAAGAGAACAAGGAAGTAACACATCATTTTGTCCATTATCCATTGCAAATTGTACTATTCGTCTATGCATATAATTTACAGTAGTTATTGCAGCAGAATGACCCCATTCTCTACCATAATAAGTATTTGATTGTCCAGCTACAATCAAAACTTTATATTTACGAGGATAAGGAATTATTCTTTCTATATAATTTGTAATAAATTCATATGTTGAATCAATATATTTTTTTGTAGCTGCATCCTGTGCATTAGTAGGATCAACTACATTGATCAATTTATGTGAATTCAAATTTATATTAGCACTCATACTATTAGTTCCATCTAATTTTAGACATGCACTGCTAGAAGTTTGATTATTATCAACATAATTTTTTGTAGCTGCATCTTGTGCATCTGTAGGATCAGCTACATTGATTAATTTATGTGAATTCAAATCAACATCAGTAGTGGCTGTATTTCCAACATTAATGTTGATATTTAATCCATCTGTTGTGTAACCATACAATGAATTACTACCGGCTATATTCATACTCATTTTTTATATACTATATTTTTTTAATTCAATATAATGAGTTTTCAATACTTTGAAAATCAACACCTTCATCAAGCTTTTTTAATACATAAAGACACAAGTGTCCGCAAAAAGAAGTGTCTCCAAACTGAATTCTTTTACTATTATAATAAACAGGACTGTGTAAATATTGAACAAGTTCAACTGGAGGTGGTAGTGCATAAGAATCAAAACTTAATTTTTCTTCTCCATCTTTATACCAACAAATCCAATGAAATCCATTCGTACTTGAATCTCCAGTATTTAATATTCCACATTCTTTGTTTTGTGTATTTTTAGGTAATTCATCTCTTACAAATACACCTCTAAAATTTTTAATTTTTAATTTTTTTGCTGCTTTTATTAATTGAAAGTTTGTTAAGGGTACATTTGGCAATATAATTCCTTCAACATTGATATGTTTGTCCATTTTTATTACTTTATTAGATTTTTTTAGATCTTTTTAAGATATAAAAAATAACTTACCTGTTTGCCTGCCTGCCTGTTTGCCTGCCTGCCTGCCTGCCTGTTTATTTCCAATCAATCTGAAATGAAAAGTTGGGTTTGTCAATTATTTCACTTTCATTCCAATCAATCTGAAATGAAAAGTTGGGTTCTGAAGGAACCAATGTTTTACTCTCTTTTAATTTATAATGTCCATATGCTAATGTGTGAATACCATCTTCTTGAATTACTCTTTTATCATCTTCTGCACTCAATGCTATTTTGTTTATTTCTTCACTATAAACATCATGTAAATGAGATTTTATAACATTCATTTTTCTCATTTGATCTTTCTTATTTAAAGGCAGTCTTTATAATCTTCATGTGTAATATAATTTTTTACTACATTTCTCTTTACTCCTTTACATCTCTTTTTATCTTCTTCATCTATTTTGTAAGAATACAACTTTGATCTGAGTCCAATAAATTCCGTAATTTGTTTTCCTGCTGATTCATCTTTAAACATTCCTATTACTTTCTTATTTACACCAACTTTAAATCCATTTTGAACAGCTGGATGATCTTTATTAAATTCACTTGTATCAAATTTACTTTCAATATCATTAGAAATATCTTTATAAAAATCTTCTGTTTTTATTTCATAGATTAATGAATCTGTATCTGTATATAATAGTTTAGCTTTATCTCCATATTTATTTTTTATGTAATCATAATGAAATTCGTACATTAGTGTTTTGCTCAAATCTAAAATACACATACCCAAGTAAATAGGTTTGTTATATACAAGTTTTGTTCTTTTCATATGTATTGCAATTAAATTTTCATCAAATATCGTTCTACTTTCATAATTTGGTTTTGATGATAATTTAATAGCTTCTTCTCTTTTTGTAACTAATCTTACATCAACTCTGTTTTCAATGTTCTCCATTGTCTTTCCAAATACTGAATTGTTCATAAGTTTGAAAAAGTCTTTTTCAAAGTCATTTGTTGCTTTTGTTCTTAGATTTGTATTGAGTTCAATGTATTTACTTAACCATGGACTTTCTTCAAACTTTATTCCTCTGTGAATTTTTGTTATTTTCATTCCTAGCCTTTCATACAGTTTTAAGTTTTCATAGTGAATGATATAATTTTTCTTATGATTTAAATTAGGTATTAATTTATCAACTTTGTCTATTTTTAATCTTTCAGGAGCTAGAGGATAATCATTATGAAC